TATCTCATAAAGTAGACTGTACCCTTTTCTAAAAAATGGCTCGACGTATAGTATATATTGTGTACTTCAAACTGACATAGAAAACGAAGAGGTGTACATTCTAGTTAGTTTTATTTTAATCTGTTAAGTTCACAGAATATAGAGTAATTTCATAGTGAGTGCAGTGAACATTTGGATCAAAAGAAAAAAAATTTCAAACTCAGAAGCAATATCTATCATATATCTCATATATCAACATCATATCGTTCCTTTCCGTTCTCTTCTTCTACTTTAGGAAAAAAATCTCTGGTTCACTCTCTATCGTTTCTTACTTTTCTTTTTTCGTTTTTGTGAATAAATCTATCAAATATAGAAAGCGCTTAAAGCGATGAACTATTTGACGGCATCGCTAACTTTAAAACTACATTGTCGAAAAAGTCGGAGCGGTCATACAACACAATCAAAAACATTTTCCAGAAGCGAATGCGGTCCCCATGATTAATAACAATTCTTCACACGCGAGAAACATATGAGAAGAAAGGTACATGAAAGAAAAATAATAAATTTATTTAATTCTCTGAATTACATTGTTTTCCGATTCTTCACGACTGATTTCCGCCTTGGCGAATTTTCGCATTAGCCTATCGTGCATATCTTGATAATTTCTACCACCCATATCGCGTGTGCGTAACAGTAATTTAATTGCCCAAGCGTAACAATGTTTTACTTTAACAGTTTCACCCAATGCCGAGTAGTGATCGCCCTTTTTCTCCAAATACTCAGCAATATCTCTTGTTAATCGCAGGAGTAAATCATCTTGATGTTCTAATATGGACGTTATATGGTCGCAATAGTTGATCGCCCAGTCTTTATGGTACAGAATGTTACCACAAAATATATAAATGCCATGTACTTGTGACCATTCAGCAATTTGTGGTACGATCTCCTTACCCAGTGTGCCCGACGATATGAAAAATATCTTCTTGCTAGCATTTCCGCGAATAAACTCAAGACAGTCATTCATTTCAAAAAATGGCTTCAGACAATAAACAGTATCTATTAGCCTAGTCATTGTTTCCGAATTTTCTAGTTCCCAGGCTGGTTCATTAAGTTCATGCTCTTCTGGTTTCAAATTGATCAACGGGTGTATCATTCGTCGAAACTTTTCCTTTAGATTGACACTTTCCTTCGGACGACCGATGTATTTATCTAGCCAGACAGTCAAATGATCAGAATATTTGCCGATGTCCCGAGTGTCGTCCCAATAAGGGATTACGTGTGAGTAGTAGCTTGCATCAATGTCATTAGTGGCTTGCATCACATAAAGTGAAATTTATGTCTAGAACAGAAAACCCTAATACATTTTCATTTACAATTCAATATGAATTGAATGCAGTTAAGTGTATGAAAAAATACATTATTTTTACTTTATTTTAGTTTTTCAATATCGTCACACAAACTGTTGTGTCGATAGTGAAGAGAATATAAATATGATCTAGATAAAAAAACAGAAGTTTATGATGATCAAAGAAACGTCTTTTCTTTATTCTTTTTTGTTACTACGCAGAAAATATCTGATGGAAGAAAAAGACAAAAGAAATAGTTTTGCAAGTAGACGAAGCGACGAAAAGTAATAAAACGGTTGAAAAGTACAAAAAAGTTGAAAAATATGCAAGCGATGGAAAATATGAAAGCGACGAAAAGCATGAAAAGTTGAAAGGGACAAAAAAGAATCCCTATGCAGTAGCAGACAAGCAGACGAAGCGATGAAAAGTAATAAAACGGTTGAAAAGTACAAAAAAGTTGAAAGGGACAAAGCTATGGCAAGTAGAAAAACATACTGACGTTGGATGCCTAATTACGTCTCGAGTGTCAGAATCAGCCCACTTTTAACTTACACTTACACTACAACAATATATTCATGCAGTACATTTCACCTTACACATTTTTTGTGTATTCTAACAGCTCTGTTGGAAGTCACCTGACATACTGGGTCAATCCACTATCGCAAGAAATCAGTCGTTTCTGAGATAAGCTACATGAGTTGAACGATTCATCTGCAGTATGAACTTAAGTACTATACTTATCACTTAAAGCTTCTACTTGGATGAATTTTTCTGAATTCATTGTTGTTGGTGCTTTTTTTACTCTGTTTTTTTTGGAAGTTTTCTAGTAGGCGCTTTAGTATGCGGAAAAAAATCGAGCTACAAACTATTAAATTTAACTTCGATGAAAATTGATCAGGATGAAAAATCTATACCTGCTTTATCTCTGAAGTCTTTTTCTATCAGTTTGCCCCAAAACTTTTAAAATATAAAAATTTTTCTGACCACGGTTTGGAATTTTTAAACCCATGTCCAAAGTGACAGAAGAAGACAACTTATACACAATATGTGAGTATACTTGGAGACAACCTACGTAGAAATATATTAAGATGACTAACATATTTTAAAAGAAAAAATCTGTTTCTTGTATTGGTTACAAAACAAGAGTGTTTTACAACCAATACAAGAAACTAAAAACCGATTTCATAGAGATATTGAAAAAAGGCAGATAGTCCAGAAACTTTCGAAGGCAACACCACAGGTAATCATTGACTCGCTGAATCTTGTTG